TCTGACATTTGGAATCCACCCCTCCTGCTATTCACTACTGCCAAAGTATTCTAGAAACAATATTCTGTGCTCTTCAATTACGTTCACCAAAGATATTTTCCTCTTCAGATATTCAGTGAAGACGTAAGTTCTCTTGGCTGAATGTGATGTATTAGCCCTATTTAAGGATAAAAAAAGCTGTAATCTTTGAAACTGTCAAGAGTCTAAGAAAGAACAAGGTTCAATACATGTGTATAGCCATGCATGTGGATATGCTTCCAATATTTGTGATTCAAGTGTCCACTCATAACTGATGTCGTCATACGTTTAAGCTACAAGCTATAATTCTACATTGAATTTTGAAACTATATTCTGTACATTAAATTGAAAAAGGACATGAGATTTGGTACCTGGAACATTAGGAGCCTCTATAGGGCTGGGGCACTGAAATCAGTGTGTAGGGCATTAGGGAATTATAAGTTAGACTTAGTGGCAGTGCAGGAAGTGCGATGGGAGGGGGAGGGCACGATCCCAGTGGACAATTTTACATTTTTCTATGGAAAGGGGAATGACAATCATCAGCTAGGGACGGGTTTTTTTGTTCATAGCAGAATTAGGGCAGCAGTTAAGAGAGTAGAATTTGTTAGTGACAGGTTGTCTTACGTAATTTTGGAAGGACGTTGGTGCGACATCATTGTCCTTAATGTTCATGCCCCAACTGAAGACAAAAGCGATGATATCAAGGATAGCTTTTATGAAGAATTGGAATCAGTATGTGATACATTTGGCAAGTATCACATGAAAATTCCGCTAGGAGATTTCAATGCAAAAATTGGGAGGGAGGATATCTTCAAACCCACAATAGGCAGCGAGAGTCTCCATGCACTTAGTAATGATAACGGTCTTAGAGCAGTAACCTTCGCTACGTCAAAAGATTTAATTGTAAAAAGTACAAAATTTCCACACCGTGATGTTCATAAATACACTTGGACTTCCCCAGATGGCAGAACACACAATCAAATAGATCATGTTTTAGTAGATAAGAGAAGGCAGACAAATGTAATTGATGTGAGATCATTCAGAGGAGCAGATTGCGACACTGATCATTATCTGGTGGTAGCAAAAGTGAGGGAGCGGCTTTCAGTAAGTAGACGAACTAAACAAAATTTTGACACAGAAAGATTTGATTTGAAAAAATTAAGTGAGGGAGAGGCAAAGGAACAATATCAAGTTGAAATTTCGAATAGGTTTCAAATTTTAGAGACAAATGAGGATAATGAAAGTGTGGACATCAACAGGGAGTGGGAAAATGTCAGAAACTGCATCAAAATTTCAGCAAAAGAGAAACTAGGATACTACAGGAGAAAGCAAAATAAACCGTGGTTTGATGAAGAATGTTCAAAATTAATAGATCGAAGGAAGCAAACAAAATTTCAATGGTTGCAGAACCCAAACAAAACAAATGCGGATAATCTATGTAACGTGAGACGTGAGGCTAGTAGAACCTTTAGGACTAAGAAAAGGGAATACCTGAAGGGCAAAATTGCTGAACTTGAGACAAATAATAAGGAAAAAAACATCAGAGACCTGTACAGAGGCATTAATAACTTTAAGAAAGGATATCAACCCCAGACTAATTTGGTAAAGGATGATAGTGGCAATTTGCTTGCAGATCCAATAAAAATTGTGAATAGGTGGAAAAATTTCTTTAGCGAGCTCTTAAATGTTCATAATACTGGTGATATTAGACAGATTAAAATGCATACAGCTGAACTGTTGGTGCCAGAACCTAGCTTAGATGAAGTGGAACTAGCCATTGGGAAGTTGAAAAGTTATAAATCTCCAGGAATTGATCAGATTCCGGCCGAATTAATTAAAGCAGGTGGCAAAGGGTTGCATATGAGGATCCATAAGCTTATTCAGTTAATTTGGGATAAGGAAGAGATGCCACATCAATGGAAGGAATCCATAATTATTCCTATTTATAAGAAGGGGGACAAGACTGAGTGTGGTAATTACCGAGGAATATCGCTGCTATCAACCTCATACAAAATTCTATCCAACATTCTTTTGGCAAGATTAACCCCATATGCGAATGAAACTATTGGGGATCATCAGTGTGGGTTCAGACGAAACAGATCAACGATTGATCAGATCTTTTGCATTCGTCAGATACTAGAGAAAAAATGGGAGTTCGGTGGGACTGTACATCAGTTATTTATAGATTTCAAAAAAGCCTATGACTCTGTGAAGAGAGAAGTGCTATATAATATTCTTATTGAATTTGGTATACCAAAGAAGCTAGTGGGTCTAATAAAAATGTGCTTAAATGAAACCTGCAGCAAAATTCGAGTAGGTAAATATGTATCTGAGACATTCCTCATCAAGAACGGTCTAAAACAAGGAGATGCTTTGTCTCCCTTGCTCTTTAACTTTGCGCTAGAATACGCCATCAGGAAGGTCCAAGGTAGGCAGGAGGGTTTGCAATTGAACGGGACACATCAGCTATTGGCATATGCTGATGATGTTAATTTATTGGGGGACGATATAAATACAATAAAGAGGAACGCAGAAGTTTTACTAGAGGCTGGTAGACAAGTGGGGCTGGAAGTAAATTCAGAAAAAACTAAGTACATGTTAGTATCTCGTCATCAGAAGACAGGCGGGCAAAATTATCTTAGGGTAGCTAATAAATCCTTTGAAAGGGTTACAAAGTTCAAATATTTGGGAACAACAATAACAAATCAAAATGATACTTGTGAGGAAGTTAGGAGGAGACTAAATTCCGGAAATGCTTGCTACTTCTCAGTCCAAAATATTTTGTCTTCCCGTCTGATTTCTAAGAACCTGAAAATTAAAGTATACAAAACAATAATCTTGCCTGTTGTTTTGTATGGGTGCGAAACATGGTCTCTCACTCAGAGGGAGGAACACAGATTGCAGGTGTTTGAGAATCGGGTGTTGAGGAGGATATTTGGGCCTAAGAGGGAAGACGATGGGGCGTGGAGAAAACTGCACAATGACGAGCTTAAAAATCTGTACTGCTCCCCCAGTATTGTGAGGGTGATTAAGTCGAGAAGAGTGAGATGGGCGGGACATGTAGCGCGCATGGATGGGACAAGAGGTGTGCACCGGGTACTGGTTGGGAAACCTGAAGGGAAGAGACCGCTGGGGAGACCTAGACGAAGATGGGAGGATAATCTCAGGCGGGATCTATGGGAGATAGGAGTTGAAGGAAACTGGATTTTGTTGGCCCAGGACAGGGTCCGGTGGAGGGCTTTGGTTAATTCGGTGATGAACCTTCGGGTTCGGTAAGCCATCTAGTTAGTTAGTTAAGACGAACTAAGTAAAATATTAATTAAGCTTTACGTGGTTTTGTAAAACTGTATGTCTTGTTTCTTACTCTGCATAAATAAACCGAACATTAAATATATATAAAACAGGGAAGTAAACAAAGTTCCATAAGAATCGTTGTTCTCATACGTCTTCGTCATTACAACGCAGAAAAATATTAAATGATTAATTATATACAAAAATTAATATAATCTACTTTCTCGCCCGCAAGAAAACATCACGTCTCAACTAACACCACGTCATTTGGAGTTTGAAGTAAAAGTATTTAAAGGGGACATTCAAAGACTTGATGGGCGATGTCCGAGAAGTACATTATTGAAGAGGCCGTCATAACATACATCTGTGAAACCAACACAGCTTTTTCCTCAGTCTTACCAACATAAAACGTACCTCAACACTGTGGAAAACTGTGAAAGTACCTGAATATCAGAAGTCTTGTCTAACATAAAGTGCCCCTTGAATTTGGATTGAAATTTCATCCAGTATATCTTCATGGTTCACCAATGATGTGCCTTTGAAAACAGTGGATATTTCTAGGTGGTCATTCACGAGAAGATCATAAAGTTTTAACAGGTGCAAAAATTATGGGCCTCTAGTTACTTCCATTAAGAGATAAATCAGATTCATCATGATGTTCCAGTAAGACACATTGGTTAATCTATCCGAATTTTTCGTAAAAAAACTTTCACAATGTTCTGAGTCAATAAAATCCCATTGATTGTCAAGAGCCTCACCAGTTCTTTGGAGACCAAAATGCAAAAGGTCCAGTGTTGCAGAAGATCTGTACTTCTCTGTGAAGAAGCATCTAAGTTACTGAAGTTATCAAATCACCATGAACTCCAAGCACTATGACTTTCTGAAACCTGCGTTTACTAAAAAAAATTGTAGTTAAAATTATAAAATATTTTAAAATTGACATTATCTTACCACCATCACAATGTTGTATGAATCCTCACAAGATATGCAATACACCTATCAGCTCAGCTGATGTGCACTGGCAATGTTAAAAGAGAAATTTTCTGTCTCTCTTTCATAACTCTGATTCATGTGTAAAAGCACAGCTTGATAAACCTAATTACTTCTCTGGTGTGGTCAAATACTGTGACATGTAAGCTACATAATTGATATAACAGTCATAGCAAACATTAGGGCTTTCTTTCATCTCAGAATTATTAGTGCAGTGGTCCTTAGTTCCAGCTGAGTCAATACAATTATTTCATTTGCAGTAAGAAACGATTAACCATAAAACTTTCACTCAGTCAACTATTTATGTATCCTACCATACACTGAATATGCTGGCATTACTTCTCAAATACATCAATTATACTCTGTGACTTTCAGTATATTATGAACATATGGACCCTTATCACACAGAAGTCATCCCTCCTTGCCAAGCAATACACAAGCCAATGTATTGCCAACTGCCAACAAAATATTGGTCTAGTACTTAACCTCTACAGCAAATTCATTTTATATATGAAGAAGATAGTGACAGTTTCCATAAACCCTATATAACCTATGCAAGTGATACAGAATCACTGTGAAAACTAATAAATTACTGTTAGTCTAAGATAATTATTGCTATTTTTTTCCCCAGTTCTTAAATCAGTGCCTAATTAGCACTTTGCTAAAAACATGAAAGTAATGATATAGTAAAGACAGCTGAATGACTCAGGTACTTGCCATGTATTCTTGAATTAATCCCTGAAACACGTGTATGAATGTTGCAAATATAAGTTTTATCTGAAACAGATAATTTGAATTTATACGTTTTTATATAATGTGATCAGAATTTACATAACACACCTGAATAAGAACTTCTGGAGTCAGATTGTTGCTTCTGGTAGCCACCAAATGTAATGTGCCACTGTTAGAAACCCACATACTTTAACACATTACATCAAACAAATCAGATGACATCAGTTGTCACAATAATGCCATGATATTGTTTTGTATCGCCTGTTTGTGAGGAATATTAGACTGACTTCAAAAGTAGAATATGATACCTAGTTTTGAAATTGTAGTGCTGACTTAACTATATGCTTCAATATAAACAATTTTTAATTTCTATATCACATATGTAAATGTTAATGTTTAAACTAAGTAGCCACACCATAATAATCATTACTACAAAAATTTCATGACATTTTATAAGGTGAGGTACATTGATAATTCATTAGTCTCACTTGGTAGTATTTTTCAAGTTCACCAAGTTGTCCACATCCATATTATATATCAATTCACCTGCCATGAAGTGAGAACTGAACTCTTTGAAATCAGCATGTAAAATTGATTATGTTCTTCTTGGTTTTGTCACCATGTGGACTGGTGACTAGAACTATTTGAAGTGATAAAATCTCAATATGCTGAAATTATTTTTCTGCTGGAAACATACCTATTGCCTTAGAGCTAAATAATTAACAGGTGAGAGGCATTGCACTGAATAAAATCAGTCTGTCCTATACAAAATTGTAGGAAGTATTCAATAATGAATCACTATTGAAATAATTTTAAGGAAAAATGAAAAAACAATGTTAATAATTTTTTTTTGCATGTTTACCATGGATTATGAAAGAAAATTATATAAAGCACAGTTTTCTTAATGAAAAACTGACATGAAAACATCTGGAATGATGTAATGAGAAAAATTACATCTCATCAAATTTTCTTTGCTCTGTTCCTTATTATTATCTGCATGCTTCATTATTGCTCCATACGCAACAAAATTTCTGACTTATTATCAGGAGAAATGGGGCATGAAGGTATCTTTTGCTTATAATTACTGCAAAGTAGGAGCTAGATTCCATACAACAGTGGTTTATAAATATATTTAATTTAAATGGATCTATTTAATTTTTTGTAATTTTTCTTGTGTGTATATTATTTTTAATGTTCAAAGAACTACAGATTGCAGAAAATTTTATTTGGTACCAGCTAGCCATACCAAATTGTATTTGGGCACAATAACACCAAATAAAACAATCTTATTACTCCACAATAAATTAATCAATGGCCAATTTGTTTTATGGCTCTAAATCTTAATCCCTATTAATGTCACTCAATGCAATTCCTCCCGATCAGGGTTGACCTACTGAAGAAGATAAGTATCTGCACACATTCAGTCATATGCCTACGTTAAATTTTAAATAGTGATATTCATATAATTACAATACAAATTAAGTAATCTTGTATGTGTTTCTTAACACATAGAAACAAATTCTAAAAAACAGTGAAGTACTGTATTATGACCCTAAAGAAAATTTCAATATGGAATTTGGATGGCCATAGGCCTTTTTGGGACTCACACGACTTCAGTCTGTTATGACATCTCAAATTTGTACTTCATAATACCCCTAAAACCACTCATGCTAAAACTTTGTATATGAAACTTACTGAAAGATAATTATTTTAAATTATGAAACAGTGCCATTATAGTTTTACTTGTAACTGAGTTTCATTATGATTTCTGAAACACACAAAACAGCCTTGACAAGTATGACATTATACTGGGAGAATATACTGAAACAATAATTTCTTATAATTTCCTATCACTAAAACCCACTTTTATATGGGGTGGACTTAGATATAACAGAATTGACCCAATAAAAGAGGGGTTTGTCCTATCACTGGTCACCTGAAGATGGAAATAGAATCAGTTTCTGAAATGTCATAGTTTTAAAACACTTGTGTCATACCATTATCAGAAACATTTACACTTTGAGTGCATGTAAATGTTGACATGTCTTGCTACACTCTCAACTTGAAAATACTACCCATGTGATGACTTAATGAAGACCTGATATAAAATTAAAGCATGAACTTCTCAAGAAATTAAAAATTTCTTACACAAACTCATATGCTCATGACATACATAATTACACATTGACTCTTTTATTAACAAATATTTCAAAAAGACTAATTCTATAGTACATTAATTTGAATAATTCTGAAAATCATTACTTCATTCTAAAAGCACATGAACTAATTAAACCAAAACACTTTTAGCAACTTCCACACAATTTTCTGAATGGTTTAATATCAAATTGCATTTAAAGGTGCAGAAAAAAAATCCCTACAGAAACATTACTCTTCCCCTAGCATGTGAGCATACTTTCACAATGTAAACAAATTGAAAAGTTACCATTATTGAGTACATTCAAGATTTGATAAAACATCCGCATGAAATACTTCCTTCCCTGTAAATGATGTTACACGCATCATTACCTCATGCAATGTGTTGTCCATCATCCATTTTGTATCTGATGACAGTCAAACACTTGCATCTTGGTATTATCATGACCTATCACAAGGGGATAGAAGAGGCAGCCTATCAGACCACTGTGCTCAGAGATGTTATGCTCACATCAAACCACAATTCTGCATTGTGTTTTTAGTTGTGAAATACATCAACCTGTTTAATTATGTGACAGTAAAAACCTTGTCTGTTGCTTTAGAAAATAACTCTTCTAAGAAAGTTCACTCTTAACCACAGAAAACTCAACTTTACATGTTCTGCATGAACTTAAAGCTCCTAGCACAGGACAAACCAGAATGGAAATTGTGCTGTAGTTCAACTCAAAAGCTTTCACAGGAAGTGTGCCGGTTCAATTTCCAAACTTCGAGTTAAAATTTACAATTCTTATTTACAGTTTTTAATAAATCCTCACATTAAGCACTATCCAGTTTATAATTCTGAATTCTAATAATCCAAAACAATAATATAAATTTCCTTAAAATAATGTATTCCACTCCAATTACTGACAATTCCTACACCAATTTGTTGATATTGTCAGTATTTGAATATACAAAGTGTCCTGCAACAGGGTGTCCATAGCTTAACTATGTGATCTTGGGATCATTTTGGGTCGAAAAGTTTAAATAAAGATGGGTCCGAACTTCAACAGTTTTGTCAAGAAAATGAGAATGATCATTTTATTGCACTTGTAACTTTTACATTATTTCCAATTAATTTAGGTTACATTGTTGATGGTGTTGTTATTAAGTTTAGACTACACTATAAATTGCATTTTCAATTACTCACGTTGTTTACGTGACTCGAAATGGCCACCCTGATTGTTGATGCACCGTTGAGCCCTTCGTGTAACTGAAGTAACAGCCCTCTTCAGAGTAATGATCATTTTTGATTTTAGCACGGGAGTCCATTATTTGATTCAGCAGCTCAGCCCTACTGTTTGACTTCATGGCATACACCAGGGGTTTCATGTGGCACTAGAGAAAGTAGTCCAAAGGCGAAAGATCTGGTGATCTTGTTGGCCAAGCAAATGGACGACTTCAGTCAATCCAGTGGTCTGGAAACTGTTGATTTAGAAATGCAGTCACCTGCCTACCAAAATGAGGACGTGGGCCATCTTGCTGCAACCACATCGCTTGCCTGGTTAGCATAGGAACATCTTATAACATCAATGGCAGCTCTTCCTGTAGGAAACTCAAGTAGTACTGAGATGTCAAGCACTGATTGCCGTGTCTTGCCTATGTGTGCCGCTTAGTGAACTAATTTCTCAAACATAGCCAATGCATACTGAGTGTGAAGCCTTTTCTTGACAAACCGTTGCAGATCGGACCCATGTTTATTTGAACTTTTTGACTGAAAATTATCCCAAGAGAACGTAGATAAGCTATGGACATCCTGTTGCAAAACACTCTGTATTACAAAAAGGGGGGGGGGGATATTTGTTAGAGGGAAAGTTTCCCAAATCAAGACTGATACAAAGTTAAACTGCCAACCTGCTACATATTCTAAAAGTATGCCCACATTATTCTTCAACCTTAATCCATTTTTGGGATATTTTTACACTCAGGATGCAAATTTCATAAAATTAAAATGAGCTGAATGTATACAAACCTATAATAGCTATAGTTACTGCACATTCATAATTCTATGTACATATATTAATACAATAATAATTATAACAAGAATGTCTGTAATCTTTGGGCTTTGAATGGTGAAAGAATATTATAAAAGCTTGATATTTATTTTATGGGCATTCATAAACCTCCAGGAACAAAACATGTATCTCCATAATATTTGAATAACCTGCCATCTCACAACTTTTTAATCACTGTATAACATAATATCAGTAATTATGGACACCATGTGACATTTGCATTTCACTTATACTTAAACACAGTCTTTTATATCATTCGTTAACTTGGAATATATTCCCATACAGTTTATTCTGTTTAATACACATTAACATCTAACAAAAACATTTAACTACTAGTAATTAACATTTGTCAGAACTGAATCTGAATTAAACTACAGACATTAATAATCATTACATTTATATATAAAAATGAATACTTGTTATATGGCACATTTATAACAATGATTATATCATAGATTTCTCAACATCATTTATTTAATCATCTTAAACTGATATTAACCTTAGGAGCAAATGCTTAACGCTTAAATACACATTTTTAACATTTAACGAATCTTGAATTGCAAACAGTTCATAAAATCTCTTCACATAAAATGCACATTGTAGTTATTTTTGTAATATAAACTTTCAACGATCTAAAAAAGAAATAATGCTACAAGGTTGTTTAAGAAAGTCTTATCCAAATAGATTTATTTATTATGTATCAATTGTTTATTCATATAATTTCATTCAAATTTTAGGCAACACACACAGGATGTATTACAGTTCGAAACTATATTATAATAAACACATACCAGAATTAATTTTTTAAAGTTTTTTTAGAATTTCCAAGGAAAACATGAATGCATGTCCTAAAACTTCCATGTCTATGTTTCGTGATGATATGTACTAGTTGCAGATGTTTTTTTGCATTGCTAACACTGGTATCAATGATGGAAAAATGGACTGGTGGCAGGACCCTGGAACACTCTGTAACAATTCAGCCTCCTCACATAAGAAATGCATGAATGCCATGCCTTGAGATTAGGTTCAACTGCCAGGAGTTTCTAGTAGTAGTAAGAAAGGAAACAGATGTACAGCCATGATCCTTATACAGTATTACTAAGCTCATTATTAATTGTAAAAATGTTCAATGTTATGCTAATCATACCCCATCATTTCACTGTGAAGTAACTTTCACTGTTTAATGTTGTGTAAAGCAACAAAAAATATACGAAGTTTGAACAACCTGTAAAACTCACTTTCTATGACAGGTTGACAAATTTCTCCACTTTCGTTGAAATAACAGCACGGACAAAAGTTAACATACACCAATTAAGTTAGAGCCTGAAAGTTAGCATCAACTTTCACGGCAAAATGATGACATGAGTTATACTCCAAACCCTTCAAACAGCTATTATAACTACTCTCAATTCATTCATAACAATGTCAGTGAGCTGTATGCATGTAATGAGGAAGGATTAAGATTGAGGAATTAGGCAGCTCTGTTGAAAGAAGTTTTCATGTGGGACCAAGAAAAAATCCACTTTCCTTTCTCTTTAGAGTTCCAAAGAAATTGTATGCCTTCTTCTGAACCCTAACATAGACCTGAGAATGAATGTGTCTTCCTTCTAATTCAATTATAGGCATCAATATTATATACTTTAACTGCTCGATTTTTATTAAACTCAGTATAAAGATCATGACGGAGATCTCCCCAACTCTTAAAACACATTACTAACATCATATGAGGTAAAAGCAACCCTAGCAACATTTAATGAACTATCTTGAAGTTTTGTATGGTGACATATCTGGAAAATATGTAACACTGATAAGTTGCTACAACTTTTGGAAATAACTGTGTAAATCTGCATATTCTGGTGTAATGACTCCAAGTAACCTTATACATGAAATTTGTACAGGTAACTCATTACACATGCTTTTGCTATCCATGTATTCACATATCCACAGATCAGTATCACAAAACGCATCAATATCCTATTTCCAGCCATGGCAGAAGCTACCATCCAAGCCCACCAAGTTTTATGCATAGTTATACTGACTTGTCCCACCATTTTGATGGGGGGAGGGGGCTACAAATTAAAGCCTCTCATGGTGTATCAATCAGAAAATCCACAGGCATGTTATGTTTCCCAGTAAATACATTTTCAATATATGCAGCGATTCACAGGAACGCAACCATCACGTATAACAAAACTCACCTGAATCATCTTATAAACACATCTACAAATTTTGCATAATTTGTTAATGTCTTGGTTTGCAATGCTGTGATTGTAAAATATATTAAAATTCTCAAAAGTGGCTCAGGTTCAAGTTCAGACATACAGTCATGCTCTTTGTTACTGTAGAAATTAAAGTTTCACTTAACCTTTATCAAACAGGATTAATGGATTTAAACCCCCATATTATGGGGCTACCAGCCAGATTTCATCTCTGGAGTTAAAAGTAAGGTGTTATGCTAGTGAGATGCTCACTCAGCTGGATTGCACATAACCTGCAATGCACACTTGATTTCTTTTAAAGGAACAGACAGAAAATATAATCATTCTTGTATAAAATAGAATCCCTTAAAACTTTCTGAGATAAGAAGCTGCAGCAAATGGTTAGCAAGGAACTCTTTATAGAACAATAATACATAGGTATTATAATATAAAATTACTAAGAAATCTGTGTCAACTTGACAAAAGTAAAGAAATATTTTACTGCAGTTTATCAGTTTTGAGATTCTAGTTGATTCTCTTAAAAGGACTTGGCAATTAGAAATAAATCTGTCAATTCTGAGAAGTCTTACAGGTCTGAATGTGCCTAATGCCACCAGCTATGGTCTATAATTACAGGCAGGGTACAAAATCCATTTCTGAGGAAGGATCACATATTTGGCAAATTCTGTTACTTGCAATGCCAGGGTGATTTTGAGAATGACACTCCACAAGGGGCCTAAATGAACCACAAAGGAGGCCTGGTATTCTTCATATTTCCAAAGTTTCACCTTTAGCAGAAATTACGGTTTCAATCTAGGAAAAATTAATGCACAGATCTGACTGGGGATTGAACCCAGAACCTTCTGACTGACACTACCCCAGATCACTTCCAGGATAAGCCAGTCCGTAGCAAATTCTGAAATGGAAAAATGTTGTTGATGAAATGTACTGAGGAACACAAATTCCTGTATCTGTAGGAAGATTCAAATCTACAGACACATCTGTCAGTTACAAGCAGAAAATGTTATCTCTATCGGGTCAACAAGACACTCATTCTCATCAGAAATAAATCTGATGCTCTGTAATGCATCTTGAGTGAGTCTCTAAAATTTCAAATGTAATGGTTTTAATACTTATATTTGGAATAATTAAAGAAGTAAATATCCCAGCCTTGTAACATCAATTATTGTGCTATTAACAATACCAAGTCATAAAATATGTAAGAGGATGTGGCTCCTTACAGTGGAATAGAAATAAAACCAAGTTTCTTCATATGAATGTTCTGTTATGTTACCATGGTCTGCCTCTGAACCAGTTTCCTAATACATGGTTCTTTGTTTTCCCTCACACATATTATGAATGCCTCATGGTCTTTTGCAATTCTTCTGAAGCAAATAAGCTTTAAAATAGTATATATATAATCAACTTTAAAAAACATAAAATTAGTGAGAAATGAAATAGGCAGCACTTGAAGTGAGGCAAGTTATTGCCAAAAACTTCTGTAATGGATTTTAAACCATCCTATACCTGTAACAATTATTTCAGGGTGGATCATCTTAGCCAATTCTGAAATTATACACAAGCAAATCTCCACTGTTTCTGTACATCAAGCACTAATTACAGTGAGACAAACATACCTGGAAGTAATGTGTAACATTTTAAATGAAAGTAATGTGGAACTTGAAATGTTTTGCTGAAATTTGTCAAACTTCCATGGAGAGAGCAAATTGCTAGTTTTAATGTTGATTATATTGCTTTAAAACTGTCGTATCTTGCTTCAAACCCTTGCAAACTCTCATATTGCTTTTACAGTAAAGAACAGTCGAAGATTCATAATGCACAACAATAAACTAATAGCAAAACATTTACACAAATTATGAAGACCAAATGAACTCATCTCATTTGCAATTACACCACTGATATGCATATTAAAATAATTATTTAAATATTACAAATGGTGTGAATAAGATTATTGCTGATGGTTACCAGACCATGGTCAATTACAGAAGACACATATCACCATCAATTAAATTAGAGGAAGTAAAAATGATCTGATTAAACAGCAACCAAATCCATTAAAAAGAGCTGAGCAAATACACAGCATCCACAAACAATACTAACTGACATTTAAAAGGTACAAATGATTCTTTGATAGTTATATCCTGATTATCAAGTACTGCTTTAGAACCAACAGTGTGTTCTCATGAACATCTGTTAATGATAATGATAATAACACACCATAAAACGTTGCAAGATATATTTTCAATAGATTCAATGAAACAAAGTTGAACATTTTATATCTCACTTGGCTTTGTTTCATTTTAAAATAATGGGCATCCACAAACTGGACTGAAAGTGTACTGCAGTGGGAAAAATGCATCGTTACTCTGTACACATGACCAAGAATAAACAATCCCTTGCCATAAATCTATACTTTGCCTTCCTGTAATTGCAGAAACTGATACATTATACATATATGCATGCATGCACATGTATGTACATATAAATATAAACACACATGGATTTAAGTGAAGAAACACAAGGTCATAAAATATCTGATGTTACTTTGAATTTATACATACCAAAAATAGTGCATATTGAATTATTCTTCATACATTTATACTTTCCAGTGCCTTTATTAGTGTTGATTTGCTTGCATGGCTGATGTGACAGTACATGGGGGTTTGGAGGTAAGGCCGTACATTTTCAAACATGACACTACATGGAGATAAGCGACTGGAACCCACTAAATGAAAGGTTGGGTAACATCCAGAGGAGAGAAATATTCTTGATGTTTGTACTGTAACTCGAGTCCTGGTCATTCAGTTCACCATTAGTCTGACTGACTTAACATCGTATCATCACTGTTCACTAATTTATTGAAAAAAATCACACACAGAGTTAACCAAAATACTTTGTACTCATAACAGAGACCTTTCTAGTAAAATTCAACCTCATAACACACTGTAATAAGTTTAAGGGTGCCTTCAAATCATTAATTTTGTCTCCTGACACCCCAAAAATAATTAATTATATAGTGCTGACATCAGACTAATAGAAGTGTGACATTACTTAGAGGGCTTACTTCTGTTTATCTCTTTAAATATTCACATAATTAAAAAACATTTTAGATGCGAGTTTCTCAACTTAGTATTATTTCATGTTATTTGCAGGTACGTTGTTCCTACATCTTGCAAAATCTATCTGAATACGAAGAAACCTACTGACACATCTTTCCATTCTTATGTTTACTCTGCTTTCCCTATATTACAGAGAATGATAAGGTTATGATATCATAACTCCCTGTCCCTAATAACTTTTAAGCAGTCACTAAACAGTACGATTATCCTGCCATTATAGACCACCTTCGTACTTTGTACTTTTTAATTCCTTACTAGTAAGATCGAGAAAAGTGACAGGAGACAAGAGAAAATTTCTTAATAAGGAGCTCTTCATCAAATATTAATAGAAAGTAAAGATGGTCAGGGAATGTAGCACTGATATGAGATGAAAAAGCATACAAAATTTAGGACTGAAAACTCAAAACAAAGAGACCACTTGGAATGTATGGGTATAGGAGGGAGGACAGTATTAAATGTATCTCAAATCAGGATTTCAGGATAGGGATCAGTGGTGGACTTTTGTAGGAGGGTTTCCAGACTAGAAGAGCAACTATTAACTTCTCAAAAATGCTTCTGCTCCATGTACTAGGTAAAAAATAATACCAATATGGCAGTTATACTAACTGCTGAGGTGAATGAAATAACAGCACCACTTTATAGTGTGTTCTGAAATTCTGTGTGTTCGGCAGAGCTAAACAACTAACAATTTGTATAATGTAAAACAACATGGCACCTGCAGAGACAGATCATAAGGATATCCACAACTTTCACGTAGTTTCAAACTGTACTAACCGAAATAATAATCAGAAATTATAAGTTGTAAAACTACTAATTTATAATTCCTATTAGTCCCTCTTTGTACAAGGAAATTGTCGAAGGAAATTACGTGTTACAGTACCTTCCACAATGTATTTTTCTTTCTATAGATACAATTCATCTGATGCAGCCCAGCTACTGAGTAGGATGTCTTGATTAACACAAACACAGCTAAAGACATGCCTGAAGACATAAGGAAAAGTACATACAATTCCAATGCAGTGTAGTTAACCTGTAGAACTAGTGGCAGCTACAGCAGTAATAGTAGTAACAGGATCAGAAGAAGCTTAATATTTTCTTCTGGAAATAATAATTTTAATGTACTGGACACCAATTCTGCCTTTCATAAAAAAATATTCAGTTTGAATGCCTAAATAAACTAAAATATTTTGTGGTTTCTATCAGTTTCTGCAAGGACAGCCCATGACTGTTTTATCAATATATTTTCCAAATCCCCATTCATTATTATCCTTCTGAGATAATATGATAAATAAGAAATCAAAGATTACTGACAAAATAATCTATATAAAATTTACAATCCATGAGTGGTTATCAAATGTAGTTACAAAGATCATGTTAGGATGTGAAAACTGAAATTCTCGCAGCTGTAAGAATGTCAATATTCGTCTTCTCAGTTGTAATGCCATGTGGACTTTGCTGACGATGAAGACAGTATATTCCTCTAAAATGTTGGTGTCTACCTACAAGTTCACACAGAATTACAACTCAGAAGACAATTATCATCACCATGTTAGGATGTTTAACAGTTACACACCAATCACCCCACAATCTTGCAATTCAGGAAAATATGATGTCCTCTCCCAACATTATTCGCTGGGTATGCCAATGAGACCACGGACAAGTTTCCCTTCAACCTTAATGCAGGGCTCAAGCAATCCTGGGTGCCCAGTACTTTCGACTATAATTAATTCCTAGTTAATACATTTTTACTATATTAAAAGCCCACCTCAGCAGCAATTGTACCATTCAACTGTTCATCACCAGAAGTGAATCAAAATGCTGAATTCTTTGTTTAGCAATCATTTGAAATTGTATGTATCATGCTGTAAGGTTTGTGAATATTTTGTTTGTTTGTGGTGCAAAGCAAGAGGTACAGTGAATAGCCTAAATGCTGATTTGGTGCCAGAGTTGTCTTATATATTTATATAGAACAATGGTGTGACAGAAGTGTTTCTGTCAATCTTATCTCTTGACAGTGAAACTGCAGATGGCTACTCAGATGCCATTAAAAGAGCAATCTTCCAGCCACCTGATTGGCATATCTACTGATGGTGCAGCCAGCACGAGTGAAGCAGACAATGGAATAATGAATAAAATAAGGCACGAGTCATGTACTTGGTGCTTACTGTGTTGCACAGAGATTAAATTTGAGCATGTTATGTTCAGTAAAAAAACAGAAAATATACAGATGATCTTGACTCAAGTTTTTACGAAGCTCTACAATTTTTATCAGTATTATCCAAAGAGAAGGTGACAACTGAAGCAAGTAGCTGTAAGTCTCCAAAGAAGTACAGAAGTTTCAATACTCACACAATGTTAGGTGGGTGGCCAGCATAGTTGGTGCTCTCTCTGACTTGTGAAAGATTGGAAATGTGTCACAGTACACCTGGAAAGCATCACGATAGAAAAAGATAGTGCTTCTGCAGTTGCTAAGAGTTTACTGAGAAAACATATATTGCTTCACATGCTCCGTCTTCTCATGGACTACCTTGGAACTATTAAGAAACTCTTCATTTTGTTTCAAATGGAAGAACATTATTCAGCATGGCTGAATTGCGTATGAAGAATACAATGACACCTCTTGAATCATTTAAACATGGTCCAGGACAACATGAGGATAGATTCATCACTGAAACAAATTTATCAAGATGTCCAACTATACAAGGTGAATAGTACTGCAAGATCTTCTGTCTAGTCTGAGAAGGAAAACTTGATTCAGCACACAGTCATGTACCTGAGGAGCAATATTTCAATTGTGGAAACACAGTTTTTATACTTTTTCTGGCCAACAGATGATACTCTGTAAAATTCTAGTGTCAGAGAGATAATACTGGCCTAGCATTTCCAAATTGAACTTCACCACAAAAAACCTAAGAAAATCAACTGACAAATGCAGAAACAACACTGTTTTTCTCAAAAACCAGTTATTGATTGATATGTATTCTATGAGAGTAGTTACACAGTGTGTGCAGAAACTATGCAAGGCCCACTAGTCTCTGATACTTTTTTAAACCCATAGATTCCTGGCACTTTCGGATATTTTGCTTTATAAATTATACACAAGTAAACATTTGTAGAAAGGCATTTCTTGATTAGTGTGAGCCCAGTAAAACTGTCTCTGAGGTCAGCCTACATCTCTCCGTAGAAAACATCCCCAATTAATGTTTAAAACAGGAATATACCTAAAAAAAGAAAAGAGTACATAAGACTTCTCAACCTTTAGGAGGATCCTCATTACAGTGATCAAATAAATAAATTCACTTGATGCAGAGGAGAAGTACATCTACTGAACTGTGAATGATTTTCCTTCCCCCACTTTCTCGATCTACGCTTGTTTCATACAGTTTGTTATTCCTATTTGAAAGCTGACTCTCATATATTATGAACACGTCCTTCTTAATCGCCTATTTTGCACTGCTTGAAGAGTTGCTTTAGTAATACGCCATATAATTTTAATGTAAATTACATGTGTAACACAGCAATCATAGAAGACTTTAAATTAACAGCTGATAGTTAAAAAATACAAACAACTAAAAAATTGTAATCCAGTGTTGTGTCTGTGCTGCCTTATCATCTGCATGCCTTGAAAGCAGGTTCCAATCATAGAATGTTGTGAAAAATAACTTCAGATCACTATTGCAGAAGAAAACTTAAGCAACTTGATGATTAACATGAATGGCTCAACAGTGACGGAATCTCATCCTGCAAAGTTTATGAACAATTCTTGCCCATGTTTCTAGAATTATAGCATTAGTTGGCAATTATTCATCCTGATGTCGTAAAGACACAAAACACTGAAGGATGAAAAATTTCATCTGGCTCCAAGATCCAAAGCAAGTTTTTCAATCCGTACATTAAGGCATGAATGAACAAATATGAGGTGAGTATAGTGTAGTTTAGCAAACTGTGTCGGTAGTAAATTACTTCTGTGTTGGTAACAACATTTAGTATGTATAAGGAGTGAATATAATAATGGTAAGCCTATAAAGCTAGTGTGGTCATAGCTCCAAGCTGCAGTGACAAACAGGATATATAAGATAAAAAGGACTAAAAGTTGAAGGAAAAATATAATGTGATTTCATGACATAAACTGGAAGGTGTATCAACTGTATTAATGCCATAAACATCATGGTAGATGACAAAGAAATTAAGACTGCCTCATTTGATACATGAGTGAATTCAGAACCTTCTGCTGTAGGTATCTGATAGAAAAAACAGATGAGAAGCTTTCAACTTTATAGAGTAAGTAAAAATATCTTAGATCTAATTACTGAAATGAGGCAAACCAGACAAACAAGATATTGTTTCATGCTTCCTAGACATGTAAAGTTTGAATGCACATGTGTACCAACAATTGTTGCAGCAGAAAGCCATCCTCTGGTGGAAAAAGTATACTCTACAACTCTGTAGCAACAAACTGTATGTAATCTGTGGTGTCATAGATGTAGAGAGAGAGAGTTGAGGGCCAGTTTATTAAAACCTGCCCTTGGTATCACTTAAAAGATGACATACTACAACTCCTGTTTTGCATAGAGTATATATTTCCAAATATCACCCAGACTGCATGATAACAAGCTGCAACAAACCAATACAAGTACAGCAGCTGTACCAAAATCTCTGAACAAACTAAGAGATTGAGGTTAGGTCCAACTTGGAAGGACTTCAAATCTGAGTTTCTGGAGAATATATTTTCAGAGCACAAATATTTGTACTGTGCCAAGACAGGAAACAATAGGATGGACAAGATCCTTGGGGTGTAGCCTGCAAATAATATGATGGCAAAGAATGTCTTTGCTAGTCTTATTATACACTGAAGCAAACTGGATATTGTGAACCACCTAGTAATTTACTTGCCAGAAGAAATGGGTTCAGAAGACGACAATAAAGATAATGAAGTAAAATATGAAGATGGCTATGCATTCTGTTCAACAAGGAGTCACTGGGACAGAGATGTGAACATTGACAGCATCAGTTATTCTTATTGAAGAGAAAATAAGAAAAATGTAACAGTAAATGGAAAAGAAAATAATGAAGATAAAATGTGTAATAATATTAGTGACAAAAGCAGGTAAAGAAGACACAATTACAGCATAGGTACATGGTGTTACTTTCCCTCGGTGGACCAGTGGTTAGCATGCTTGCCACTGGACCCAATGTTTGCGGGTTCTAACCCAGCCGAGGTTGATGGATTTTTAAGAGTGATACAAATCCATAGAACAACTTCCTTCGGAGGGGAAGTAAAGCCGGTGGTCCCATGTTGTAGATTTACAGCATGAACGAGATGTTTGGTAAGCAAAATTCAGTGGCCATTCCTCACCCAAGTCTCTCCTGATTCACTTCTAGATGGCTCTAGCAGTCAAATCAGGATTGAGCAGAAATTGTGCAGAGGCAGTAGGCTGGTCACTCACTACTCATAAATGCATACTTCAAAGACAAAGAAACTTCCCACATGGGTGGGGGCCAAGGCTTGGTTTTGGGCCGGTATGCCATGAAGTCAGTCAGCACATCCTGTTAAGACAAGCATGCTGATAAACTAAAGTGCAAATGAGGAAGTTGAAGAAGGTAAGGTGCAAGAGTAACGACAGTAACAAAGATGTTGGCCTGAGAAAATTGTGCGGTCACATGTTGAGTCAGCAAAGTTATGTACAGCAAAACAGATGCCTAGTATTCAACCTGAGAACAATACCTGAAGGAGTTGTTTGACATTGACATAACTGGGAAAGCCACAGGTCCAACATGGGTAAACAGAGCACATATTTGCACATCATCACACAGAGTCACTATTGTATACACGTCTATTCTATTACTTCCAATGTCAAAGCAGTGATCATATAAAAATGAGATGCAAGATTTATCAATGCACTGTAAACCCGTATGCATCATCTGTACAGCTTTGATGACAGCTGTAGCTTCATAATGACTATAGCCGGTAACCTGAGAAGAATTCAGATCAGATCATACAGCTGTAGCTTCATAAAGGGGATACCAATGTTGGATTCCAGATCAGCAGAAACTGAACACGCGTTTTTGCAACCATACAATGCAGTCTGAGGGTAATGAGTACATTCATGACACCAACATGTTGCCTGCAGCAGACTCAGTTTGTGGAATGAAGAGAAACATTGGACATTGTGGATGTCAATCTATCAACTAACAACTATCAACGACATATGAAAGATTCCTCCCACAGAGCGCAGTATGACAGGCACCTGTCATCATAGACATGGGATGCAGTCAGAGGGTAATGGTTTCTGCCTCCAGTTCTGTTGGAAGGTTCCACACAAAGTGAGCTGTGTATTGTGGACTGATTCACGAGGCCTGGATAAACAGCTTTCATCGACTGCATGAATGGGTTCTGAAGAATTCTTATGCCTCTCAACATTTTTCATCTTTCATTTGGGCCAAAATCACATAACAGAACCATATGTAACCCAGACCAAGACTGGAGTTCAGTATGTTGACCTCCCTGAAGGAACACTTTACAATTTAATGTGTTCCTGAATGTACAAGGCCATACTGTTTCAACACAAAGGCACCCCTTAATTTTCTTACCAAATGCATAACTGATGAACATGGATAGATGGATTGGTTATGGAGGTACAATCACTTGGTCTCTCCTGACTGACATCAACTGATTATTACTTATGGGGATCCATTGCTTGTGTCAGTGAAATTCAAAACCGTGGTTAAGTCACTCATATCCAGGTAGCTACAGGAGACATTAAGGTCAAACAAACACTCAGATTTATATCAGATACTCCATTTCATGTCATTGTGAAGCACACGTGAGGAGAAGGCCACTTTTAAAAGTAAATGTGAATGATAAAATTCATGTGCACTACACAAATACATACATGAGTATAAATTTGGCGTATCTTTCCTTTAACTGTAAATAAAAGAATGTAAATAATGAGAAAAATTAAAAGAATGGACAATATTTTGTTTCAATTTCTTAAAAAGAAAAGAACAAAAGTCATAATTTGACAACAGTTTTTAAACATGTTTCATTATTACCCAATATTTTATGTGTTTCACATTGAATGTATTGTGGAATTCATCAAAATTTTGTTTCTGGGTAGTGTTCACTTTTAAATTAGCATGGTTCCTTAACTTTTCTGTATTGGACCCATGTTAATAGAGAACTCTTTTTACTTATAATCAATCAATTTACCCACAAAGTTTCATAAACTACTGAATCACTTTGAACTCCAAACAGGTCAATCCAATAAGTTGTAATTTTGACATCTGTGGTTTTCATGGCAGTGAAAATATATATCATGGTCACCAGGGATGTGATGATCTGTAGTCTTGTAACTGGTTTTGCCCTGAAGATGGAGGTGACATACTCTTTCAAAAGTTGGTACACAGTATTACAACCCAGAAAGTCAAAACATTCAGAGCTGTAGTTTTACATATTCAGATTTCCTTCATTTGCTGTCTAAATTTCACCAAATTTTTTTCAATTTTATGTTTCTTCTGGACTAAACCCATTATTCTGAACATTAAAATGAAGCCACAATGTCCTCTAGAAGACCCAACACAGTAGGCTTTTTATCACCTGAAATGTTGTGGCTTCATTTTGATACACAAAACAATCAATGAAGCCTAAAAGAAAAAATATATTAATTGTATAATACACCATTGGTAGAACCTCTTACACGCCAAATTTCTTCATGAACACTACTGGGAGAGTCTGGCGCACTAAATTCATACCACGATACATATACACCAACTACTTGCAATGTGATTAAACACAAACAATCCTTTTGTGGATTCCCATATGTACAACATAATATGTATGCATTGTGATTTAATTATTGCATTGAGACTACTTAATTTAACTCAAACATTTTAAATAATGCCCTTTCAGTACAATGTAAAGCACATACATTGAATAAACCCTACACCCCCATCACTTTAAACTTGTACTGTGAAGGTGAGGGAAATGACAAATATTCTGACTGGTTAATGAACAAACCATTCTAAATTTTCTTTCTGTCATGAATATGTTTGTTCATATAGGTTTCCTAATGAAACAATTCTGTGCTGGAGTTTAAATGTGCAAAACAGCCTCACTAACACTCTCATAATTTATTTAACAACATCAAACCAAACTGTAAAACAGATTTTAAAAAATTCCTTTCAGCTTATACAATGAAGAGATTGTACTAGATAATAGAAATTGGAAATTAGTTATCTTTTTCCATTACAATATGAGTCTTTATACAGGTACCATATGTGATAAAGTTCCACTGCTTGATTCTGCTGTGATTTTTTAATCAGAACTGTGACTTATTAGAATTGGTAATACACTGAAATTCCATAAAAATTTACACACAGATATATTCCTACTAAATCAGAATGGTAAAATTTTAAAATGACAAAGTTACACCGGTGTAATAAAATAAAAGTTGTGCATCAATGCAGCTTAGTAATTGTGACTTTCTATTAAAAACTGAAAACGCTAATGCAGATTTTGGAGATGTAATTCCATTATATGTTATAGTCCAAAAACAAATATCACAGGATTAGCTTAATCTGAGACTCAGTATATAAATGGTAAATTAACAATCTAGATGCTTTGAATGTCATACTTATCTCAATAAGCACACCTTGATTGTTTAAGAGAGAATAGCACAGGGCAAAGCCCTGTAAGAAACTTTTCATTTTCTGGGGCTATACACAGCTCAAACTTTACCTCCTATGCAAGCTCAAAACCACTGTACCGCCAACTATATCAAAGCACAAACTTTATAACTACTTTCTGATACATTTTCAAACACTGAACTTCAGAAAGCATTACGCTGCCATTATTGTTGTCTTAACTGCTGGTCATAAACATCTAAAACTGCATTGCAACATTGGAAGAGCATTTGGCTTGTAATGATTATCACTAAATCCATTATTTTCTTTTTATTAAACATAAACGTGTCTTGATGAACAGTGACAAAAAGCAAAACATTAGTTGTATTTGTCTTGAATCGTCATTAGATCAGAACTTTTACTGTATGTCACAGATATGTAATTAACTTAGTTAAGTCTTAAATATCTCATTAATTTCTAACAAGAACTAAACTCAGTGTGCTTCATTAATCATAAGACTACACACAAGAATTCAAGACCAAAAGAGTTCACTGCATTACAAAGCCTAACTGCTCTGTCAAACTGGCGGAGTAACAACCCACACTTCTGCTTTTCCATACTAAGTGTGATGTTGCAAGGACAAATTTTACCATTCACATTCTCGTAAGCTGCAAAGACATTCATTCTTTTAAAAAATTAGCAGTGTAATCATTTGTGTAATGCTCTCTCTTTATTCTTATTACTCTTGATTCTGCCCAAATATTTTACACAGAAAGACCACTTTTCCTTCTCATATTATATCTGTGTGTGGCAAAAATCCTTACCCAACTGTTCCAAAAAGGAGATTATAACATACACATACTTATCTGGTAAGGAGACTTTAACATCCGTCACTACATACCAGCTCCCATTTCTCATGTGGGGCTATCCATATTCCAACAACAGCAACAGCTTACTAGGCCCCTATATCAGTACACCTCGTTGTTGCCACAGCAGCAACAGTTTAACTGCAAATTCACCTTTAATGCCAAAATGTGGAAAATATTTCCACACAGTGTTGGACTAGCGATTGCATGTGCATTACATAACAAATTCACCAGACATGGGGTGAGACGCTACACTTTTACAAACCTTTCCTTCTTAGATATAAAAAAACCCGTGAAATTATCCCAAATGTGAAATTTTAAATTTCTTTCAGGGATATTTTATTGTCACGGATTTTTTTCTGTCCGGAGGGAAAAATATGTGTTTAGAAGTGCCAAAACTGCGTCCCCCCCGCCTCATCTCACTCCCCTGATGCAGAAGTCCAACGATCAAATTCTATGCCTGAGTCAGGGCTGGTGCCAATAGCTAGTGGACTAAGAAAGTGGGCGGGGCACTTACAGTCAGGGTCAGTGCAACACCGAGCCTCAGCTGCTGTAGAAGTGGTTTGAGCTACAGCACTGTCACTAACAGTCCCAGACTCCGACTTCATTTGCTCACTTTCTGTACCTGAAACAAGTGCAGTATTGCTCAGTGACTATAGCAAAACTAAAATACACTGTTTATGTACCATAATTCAAACATCATATATGAAATTATGTAACCACATCATTGGTGCATGCAGCAGTGATGAGCACGTCAGTTGTGTTCGCAGCTCAATACATTGTTACAGTTGTCCACGATCAGTATTTAAAGTCAGAATGTTTTTATCATGTGTCAGTTTAATAATGTGCAAGTGCATTAAAGTTTGTTAGAAGCTCAGAAAGATGGCAACCAGAATTCAACAGCTGATGAAAATGACATTTAGAAATGCACCAATGAACCACACATAAATTTGAGTGGTTCCAGATTTTAAATAAAGTTGAATATTTGTCAAAAGAAATCAGAGCACTACATGTTCTTCAACCAGCATAAACGATGAAACTGCATGATGTTATAAAATGACAAAAGATTCTTTTATGGCTTGTGTTGGGCCATTTTAACCAAAGACTTGATACCAAGTCATATCATAGCCAAGTTTATTCAATGTCAATGTTGCTCTTTTGGGTTGTCATGGCTTCTGACTTGCTAAAATAATGCAGCAACTGATGAAAACTTGTTAAAAAATATGAGGTAATAACAGGTGATTAAACATGGATCTATGGGTATGATCCTAAATAAACTAATTTTAATATGATACAAAAAATGTTTAACTGATTCTAACATTGTATTGTTCTTAATGTGTTATGTCCTACATGAAAGATGCATGAGACAATGGAAACTCAACTTGTAATAAATGCATTGCATATTGCCCTAATAAAGGATGGTCAACCCTAACTGCATAGTGGATAAAAATACTAGTGACAGTAGTTGCCAATGGTTAGTCACATAACTGTCAACAGTGAGGAATACTTCTCCAGAGAAATTTGTTGCAAACACACAATATGGTGTAAAGAATCACACACAAATAACAATTCACTCCCTGAAATTAGTAATGAGGAAATGACAAGATAGGTAAAAATTTCACCAGAAAAGGTTAAAAATAAAATTATACCTTGAGTAGGATCTGTTGCATCTTTTGGTGATCTGGCCAGCTCACATTCAAAGTTATGTAGCTGTTGCATAAAGTGGAAGTTGGGTGCAATGTTAGACTTGCGTGCACGTACCATGTTGAATGCATCATTCAGATTTAATGAAAGCTTGTACATGAGGTAGGCAACTGTTACAGTCACTGAACGAGACACTCCTGCAAGACAATGCACCAGAACTCCCTTCTCATTGCTGCGTGCCTCATCTGAAGGAAAACCCATCAATTGGGAAAAAATTAAAATAAGTACAGCAAAGTAATACGACAGCCAACAAAATATTGTATTTATTACCTCAAATGTTAAAAATCACATCATCTACTAACACAAAAGAACAAAAATAAATGTTTTCATGCCAACTACTGTTGCTTTTAATAGAGGTTTTGGATAAAATTATATTTTTGGTAGTTTTCTATCATTATATTTCTCTAATGCAAACACACATTGTTTTACTGAAACCAGTACTTGCTTAAATAAAGGCATTACAGTTCCAAAATGTTCAAAACTGAAATAATAATAGCCTGCCAGTATATATTCTTTTATATCAATTCACTTCAAACTAAATTACCACAATGTATTTCCATTAAAATACATTTTCATATTATACTCTGATGTATGTCTTATACCATTTTTCCACAGTAAATTTGGTATGCATTTTTACTACATCATACAAGTACTACATATGCAGTCCATCTTATACAACTCAAACAATACCAAGACTAAGGAGCAAATTTTGCTATTCTTCAGATAAAGTACCTTTATATGTCCAAACATTTGTTACTTGCTCACAGTCTGATAAAATGTGCCACAAACAACAATTAAAATTATAGTCATAAACAATTTTAATTTTAGTTTGATGAAAAATAATTCTGAAATGTAAACTCATATGAAATGCAATTTCTGTCTTCTGCTTCATCATAAAATTAATTTTTAAATTGTCCTTATGTTTTTGCACCTGGAGTTCACTCTCTGACTTCGGCTCTCAAGGATAAACCATATCAAACACTGTGTAAGTTTTCACAAACATTGCAACTACCATCTTCAGGATGGTGGTGGGTGGGATTTGAAGGACCTGATTGGTAGAACAGAGGAGTAAGCTCTTTTCCAACTGGTAGTACGAACATGCTTGAAGAAAAGAGGTGATGAAAAAAATTTATAAGGGCCAAATGAGGAAGATGAGAGCTGACAAAAAAGTTTTTAGTAACAACATGGTTAGAGGAGATGAAAGAAAGATCTTTTGAGGGCTAAATGGTCAGAGAAAAAACAATGAAAAACGTTGTAGTGATCATGTAATTAGTAAAGGAGTGACGAAGAAGTTTTAGTGGTTGTTTAGCGAGAGAGGTGTTTGGGTGGATGGCTGGGGGGAAACAGGTAAAGCCAAACTTTGCTTAATTCGTATGCATCGTCATGGTTTAAGTTGTGGGGTTGTTTAGTTACTTAAATTGCTTTCCTGATTACGCAGGGTAGGCAGAGACGTCAGATATGACTTCTATGCCATCAAAGTCAATGCTGTGTTTAGTTGCTGTAGAGTGTTTGGCTACCACTGACCACTGCTTCTTCAGTCTGGTGTCTCTGATGTATTTCAGAACCTTGGTGGAGATGTGATGGCATATTTGCCCAATGTACACCTTACCACATGTAATCAGTTATCCTTTGGATAGATGGCAAGTAGATTTGACGTTTTCATGGTGGTGAATCTGAAGATGGTTGTCTTCTGGGTTGTGCGGTGTTGTCTGGTAGAAGTTTATCGACGTTTCAGAGCCACTTTCCTATTGGTTCCCATGCCCTCGCCTGATTCAGACACCAGTCCCCACTGGTTAGAGTTAGGCTCTTCCTTGACCATCAGTTTTCTGGAAGTCTAACCATTTCTACTCACGTGGCTTATTCATCGCCCTGATGATGGAGGTAGCAAGAATCTCTGAAACATCAGTAAACTTCTACCATACTACATGGCGCAACAACCCAGAAGACAGTCATCTTCATAAGGCAAGTAGGTAGTAAGCTGCGCGGTCTCTCTTTTCCCTGTTCCTTTTGTTGGTGGGTCTGGCTCTGGTCGCTGTGTTATGTCCTGCAGGAAGAAGTCTTTGACACAGAGAATGAACTTACTTGCTGTGTAGTCTAGAGTCCCAGTTAGTCTCAACACAAATAGTTTTTTCTCTGTCCAGCTTTCTGTAGATGGCATACACCACTGAGTTATCAGGGTGCTAGCTGGCCAAAATACCCAGAATGGGTAGTCAGCTATCCCTTTTCAGTTCCATGTAAAACAACATCAGGGCATCTGGAGTTACTGTGGTCTTTAGTTCATGAAGTCTTCAAGGGCAGTTTCATTGTTTTGGAGTTAATGGTATTCACATTATATAGAAACCTCTCAACAAAACGTCATCTAGATTCAAACCCGCCAACGGCAGACAACTCATGACGTGACTCAAAAGATTCCCTGCTCCTTTGGTAAGACGCACATACACTAAACAGGTCGTTACATTTCCACCAGGATTTCAAAACACATCAGAGACACTAGACTTGAGAACTAGCGATCAGCACTAGATGAACTCTCTGGACCAACTAAGCACAGCATTGACTTTGACAGAACAGAAATCAGAGCCAATATCTGAACATATCATGCCCGCATCACCAATAAAGCAAGTGAAGTAACTAAGCAGCCTTATAACTTCAACTGTAAAGATGGATACAGCAAAAGCAAAACAAAAAGCAAAGCTGTCCCACTATACGCCATGTAGGCTATGCCGGCTCATGGACACAGGTTAAGAAAAACCTGGATTCCTGTTTCTCACAATCCATCTATCCAGTAACCCCTCTCAGTAAAGAACCACTGAACATTCCTTCTTGTTCAAGAAATTTCCTAACCACATGGTCACCAAAACCTCTCTCAGCATCTCTTCTCCTATCAAGTGGCCATGTGACCCTTAAAAGAGCCTCTTTATCCAACACCTCTTCTAACCACGCAGTCACTAAAAACTTTTTCATCACCCTCTTTCCCAGTTTATATGGCTAGTAAACTTCTTTCATCACATCTCCTATTCACCACGTGGCCCTTAAAAACTTTCTGCCGCCGCGAGCCTACTGCCAATTGGATAGCAACCCATTCCTCTGTTCTACCAATTGGGTCCTTCACATTCCACTCACCACCTACTGCCTAATCTACATTAAGCTTCCTAATTCACAATCACTCTGAAGATGGCAACTGCAATGTTTGCCAAAACATTGAGAAACCTACAACATTCAACAAGATTCATCTCTGGGAATTGAAGTTACACATTAAATGTTATGTGTTATTGTGCATCTCAGATATCTGAATTTCACTAGACTCTAAAAATATGCCATCAGCTATTACATGCAGTGTTGGTCACACTGCAACAAAATAATTAAGAAAGACAGAAAAAAATTCTATTTTCATCTAATAAATAACACGTCACAGGAAGGTAACATTCGTTTCTTCGTATTGTCATCTAACGTCTTGCAAGTAAAATTGATATTAACATTAATTTATAATACAATGTTCCAAAATTACATACAATTATTAATCTACATGTACATTATTTAAAATTCATTGACCGAAATGGAGATAATATCCTTGGAACTGATGAAATGTAACAGAACTGCTTCACCGGACTTAGCACCGTGCGACTTCTTTTTGTTTCCAAAACTCAAAGCACCACTGAAAGACTGTTATTTTGATGACGTGAACACCATTCAGAGGGCTGTAATGAGAGTACTGAACAGAATTCCAGACACGGCCATCCGCCATTCCTTCCAGTTGCTTCATGATCGTCGTGTGCAGTGTGTAGATGCAGGAGGAAGCTACTTTGAATAAACAATGCTCAGATTGCTCGTACGTGGAACCATTATTTTTTCCCAGCATCAGTCCCGTTTTTCCAGTTGCCGCACTGTGTATTAAACAGGTTTCCTCTTAAATTTAAAAATGTCCAGAAATATTCAATTTTAAATAGCATTCCTACATAGCTTATTTCAAAGGATTTATATTAGTGGATCACATCAAAAATGCTGTGAACTCCATTTATTCAGAAGACCTGTTCATGCATGTTCTTCCAATCCCTATAATTCCACATTGCTAGTTGAAGCCCATTCTGTAAGTCTTTCAAAACGTTTACTCCGTTCCCACCTTTATTCATACGTCTCCTGATTCATGACACTTCTCCATTCATGAATAACATAAAGCTAAGCAGTGTTTGTGAGTAAAAGTTACATAAACACATAGAGAAAGGAGATGTACATTCATTGTAACCATGTTCTTCTCAATGAACACAGTTAAGTGAATAACTGGGGAGTATTGATCCTCAGACTTGAGTCCATCCATCTGCACTGAATGTGTAGGTGGAGCCGGGTGGATTAATGGGTGATCACAAATCATGTATCTAATTCAAAACAAATATTATTAAATGTTACACAAAGCGTACACCATTAGCAAAAAACATAAAACGCTCCCAACAACGTTCAAGAACAAAATCAAGCGGAAGAGACACCGGTACAACCAGTCCACCCCCACAAATGGACTTGTTCCTTTACACGTTACGTACACTGCCACGCAAAATGAATTACTCAGTACCATACAGTTTAATGTTGTAAAATTCCTAAATGAAACCTACTTATATTTCAAAAAGAACACGTCAATCAGCGTGTAAAAGAATGAATGTTGCCGTTACCAAACAAACAAAAACTTTATACTGAAACCATACGCCTAAAATTTTGTTTCAAAAACCAAAACTACAGTAATATAGAGACGAAACAGGGACAAGGTGGTAAGTACAAGAGGAAGGAGATCTGAGAGAGGAAAGAGGAAGAGGGGGAGTTAGTGTAGGCGAATGAAGACCACAGCCCATTTTATTGATCTCCAAGAATCATATCTCTCACCACCGCACAGTGTACAGCACACACTGCCACCTGCTCCATTCAGATTATCAGGTACAGCCAGAGCAAAGAGTCACGTGTGCCTGCTAACCAAGCTTTTGCATAACTGGCTATTAGTTTTACGGAACCCTAAACAATGAGGCATTCACATAATAAGTTCACTCCAAAGAAATATCTTGTTACTACTGAAAAAACACCAAAAGGTTTCATTTATTTAAAATGCTTTACAGAAGTACTGAGAACTTCTGTGTAATTTAACCCCTTTTAGATTAAGTATTATTTTACAGTTTTATTCTATAATGACTTTAGATAAATTATACATCAATATCTCACTTTTAACGCGTACAAAACACATTTCAACATATTTGTCGGCCTTAAGTACTCAGTTTCAAGATACTGGGCACAACATCATTATTTCCAGTCAGTCAGAAATTAAATTTTAATAAATTTATTTATTTATTAAGGGTGAGAGATTAAAAATATAAAATAATGTGTTCATTTATTTTGTCAAAATTATAATTGCATCAGACATTAGAAAAATCTAAAAAATCTGTTAATATTTAATAAAAAATAACACAAAAACTTCTTAAAATATTTTCTCACTGCAAACAGCATGTTCCTGAAAACCTCTAAATCTCATTTAAAGTACTTTTAAACAAATTGAATATTATAAAGTACAGAGGAGCTTACCTATAAATTCTATGGCTTTAGGGAAGAAGCTCGCTAGATTTTCCTTCCAGTGGTCTGCTATTGGTATTTTCATATATCTGATGGACCCAGAGTCTTCGAACACATTCGGCAGATCTGCTGTTACATTCAGGATATACTGCAAACAGAATCATTTCCCCCAAAAATGCCTTATCAGTATACCATTCTGAAAGTAGTGGACTGAATCCAGCGAGGCTCATGACCTTATTTCCGACACATCAACATATCTTTTAGCATATGGGAATAGGTGCTTAAACCCCAGAAGATACCACCGTGGGGCTGTTGATCAGGATTCAACTTTTGGGTCAACAGTTTTGCAGTATGCTAGTGCAATGCATAGCCAGTTTAATACTGTAAGCCAAAATGCAGGGACAATAAAGTTTAAGAATGGACGTTCTTATGAAATACATAACCAAACTTCCAGTGGCATAATATTGCGTAGATTTACTACGATTGTTAACACGTTAAAATAAGTGTAATAAAATAAGATGTTTGATTCATATAAAACATTATGCCAACTCACAATTGTCATGGTTACTGGAGTAACAAATAAGTGAGAAATCATGAATGCTGTAAAAGTAGGGATGTTACAAAACCATGTAATTACTTACGCAGAGACAATAATTTAAACTCATATTCATATATCTGCTACAAAACAGAGAAGTTTCTTGCTCTGGTATTCCACAATATATAAACTCACCAAAAAATAAAATGTAAGTAGCTGGTAAGTACAAAGTGGTGAAAAAGCAGCACCTCAATCACCACAGTGATTTTTAAGCTACTGTTACAGTCAATAAACACAGAATCTGCAAACTGTTAATGAAGGTGGTAGTTGATGAAAGACTCTCGGGTTACGAGCCACCATGTCTTCTGCCAACGTTTCGAGAGCAATCTCAGATCTCAAAACGTTGGCAGAAGACATGGTTTATTCATAAAGGGACAGTGGTTTTTAACTTTTAATTATTCATAATGATTACTAAAACACATTTATATTGAGATAGCAATAAAACTACTATATCCCAACTAATTAATTATTAATTCCAAAAGTGAATTGTAACTCTGGCGAAGAAATGATTAGGTGTTAGACTGGGTTGGGTTGGGTTGGGTTAGTTTAGGTTAGGTTAGGTTAGGTTGGGTTGAGTTGGGTTGGGTTGGGTTGGGTTGAGCCAGTGTCCCAACAATAAAACATTCTATAAACTGCTTATGTTAATCACTGTAAGTTTTAAATGTGATAAAAATAGTATTAATTTTTTAAAACTACTTTATGCAAACAATAAAATTTTTGTAACACTGATGATGATGTTCTTCTGGGTTTCGATGACATGTATAGACATTGGTAGGGCATCTACCAACGAGTCTACATGACACAAAAAACCAAGAGAATATCACCACCACCATCATCATCATCACTTCCATGAAAATTTCAAATCTCACTGACAGAACCTCAAGGCTTCATACAAACCACATTCTGTGGATACTGTAGTCCTTCCACAATCTCACGAATGTCCCATTTTCTTAACAGCAACTTAGTTGTTACTTTTATTTCATACCTACAAAACAAATATACTAACTTCTATACTGTGTCGGCTTAAAGCCTCACTGTCTCCAGATGTGGTCGCATTTCCAAGAAAAAGGTGAGGCAATATTTTGACTGGAAAATCTCTGTCTTCCTCCAAGCCTAAAGAGGAATCGCAACGATCGTCAGAGTCACTGGAGTCCGTACTGCTCGTAGCTGCCGAGGAGCAGGATGAGTCGAGATGGTGTTGTCTCTGGAATATATACACATACACTGTACATATTGACTGTGACAACGCCTCTCCACTTCACGTAACTGAACTTTCACATTACAGTCCCCATTTGTCAACATGAACAGGCCATAGGCCTGGCTCTGAAACAATCTAGTTTCAATTATGCATAATGCCATTGACGATTATCTTCCTAGTTTTGGTGCCATGTAGACGTGTTAGTAGATGTCAATGCTTCAAAGAAACATGCTGTCTCCATCTGGAGGGCAGAACTCTACACATCACCAAAACCCAGAAGATAATAATCATCGCTGTAAAAACCTCAAATCAAACACGCACAACGCTGTCTGTACCAGTTTTTGAAACTAGAAGACACCAGCTAAATGGTAGGGCTACCGTGGGAGCTTGGATAACGCATTTGATGGAATATTTTTACACTTATCTTCTTTATACCTCTCAGATTTACACAGTGGTATTCAACCTTTTTTGTTCAAGTACCCCCAGATACAATTTCTCTTCAACTTTGTACCCCCAAAGTTGTTGGTGTGTAATTCAAGTTATATATAGTATATAATCTACATCTATAATAAATTAAATAAATTACATTACTGATTATTCAGTGTTTATCATAAAATATTATATATATTTTTTAAATTTCACGTACCCCCTAAGATGTCTTCGCGTACCCCAGGTTGAATACCAGGGGTATAAAACATAACATGTATTTATGGACACCTATATCATTTTTCAGTAACATTTCTCTAAGATGAATGTGTGAGATATGCCCACAAATGAAAATATTTTGGCTCTTAGGTCTTAAAGTGGATTAAATAAAAATAAAAGTAAACACGTTAGTATTCACATAACAGAAATACTATCAAGTCCAATCAAAATCTATTATCAAAGGTCTCTAAAGATCCAAATAAGTATATTTCGTCCTATGGCTCTTCAAAAAAATCAAACCAAATAAATCCAAAATGGCATAAAATTTGAATGTAAATATATAATACCTACATTAATCCATTCTGGCCCGTAGTTTGGGTGATAATAATTTTGCTATTAAAATTCTGTCCACATGTAAACAACCAGAAATGAATATATGAATTAATGGATAAAATTAATAAATATTAATAATGAAAGACATGTTCACTATAAAATAAATTGCTGACAATCCTAGTTCAATGAACAATAAGAATTTCGCTGAAATCAAATTAAATACGACACTGGACCTCTGTTTTCCCCTCTCGTAAATTAGTAATGGCAACGTTTTTGTAACAGCGGTATATTTAGGGGAGGGGGAGGGGTCTTCAGGAAATCAATTTACACTAACACGTACATTCATCTGTAAACCTATTACTCCTACAAATTACAAAAACAAATATATAAAAATGAAAAAAATAAATGAGAGTTGCTTCCATTATCAATTGTTATTTATTCCATACATTTAAAAAGATAACTTCAAGCAGGAAGTGTTATTCTTTCTAACAATAAGAACACACCTTGGACAGCTGAGAAGTTGCCGATATCCTCAGGCTACGAAGACCCATTAAGGGAACAACTTCCATAGAGCCAGGACCAGAATCAGACACCATCAGCTCAGAACAGCTCTCACACCATTCAGGATAGCAAGATCGAAATGAACAGAAACCACCTGCAAGACATCAAAATAAGGCAACATCTTATTAACCTTCCGACATGCAGAAATTCTGTATTATTTTAACTTACCTACCTGTAAGGAAATGTCATGCATATCTGCTGTTCAGATAATCCTTATATCTTTACCACACCCTCAAAGATGGTCTTCACCTTTCTACCATCTTTTTCTACTTTATTACGTCGTCTCCTTTACAGGAAGTTGGCGACATTATGAACAGGATCCTTCCATCCTTTTCTCGGACTGGGACCTATTCATATACGTTCTTGGCAGATGACCCAGAAGTGGTTTGCCATTGCCTTCTTCTGTGTGTGAATGAAGTAATTGTTGGGATGCCACGGAGAAACCGGGGAAGCCCCCGGAGGAAAA